CAAAGACTACAGCCTTCAATGTGGATTACATCTAAATATCAAGAAAACAAAGATCTTCCCCACTGGACTAATAGGCAACATCATGACAGATAAAGAAAAAAATGAAATTGTCAATGATTTCATCTTACTTGAATCCACAACCGACACCCTTGGTACCGCAAGTCAGGAGATCAGGTGATGTTTCACACTGAACTAGTCTACTGTCAGGAACATCTCCAAAGAACTGAAGAACAGTGATGCCAGTTTAAAGACTAATATGTGTCTGATTCAAGCCACAGTCTTTCCAATCCCCTGCTATGCTTCTGAGAGCTGGACAAAGAAGAACCGATGCCTTTGAGTTGTGAAGTTGAAGAAGAGTTCTGAACAGCCAGTTCATGGACTGCCTAAATAACAGGTGTGCCTTGCAGTTAGTGCAACCAGAGTGCTCCTTAGAGGCAAGGCTTCTCCCCGCCCCCCACATACTCGGGGCATGTTGTCAAAGAAGCTGTTCCTTGGGGAGGCACATCATGCTCGGAGAGGTGGAAAGCCAGCAAAAGAGAGGAAGACCCTCAGCAAATATAGGCTGATACAGTGCTTGTGGCAATAGCTCAAGCATGCCGGGGACTCTAAGAATGGTGCAGGATAGAAAAAGTCCAGATATGTTTTTCATAGAATCACTATGAGTCAAAAAACAGCATCATAAAACAACAATAGATATGAAATAGTGAATAATGCTGAATAATCAAAAGAAGATGTAAGGAAATACACAGAATCGCTTTATCAAGAAGAATTTGTCCAACCCCAACCATTCATGGTGTCTCAAATAAACAAGAACCAGTGGTCCTGATGTCAGATGCATCTTTCTGGCTGAAAGCAAGGAATACAAGACAAAGTTTATCTGTGTTTTATTGGTTATGTAAAAAACATTTGACTGTGTGGGTCACAACAAATGACAGACAACATGGTAAAGAATGACAATTCCACAATGTATAAGTGTGCTCATACAGAACCTACACAGATCAAGTTATAGTTGTTAAAATAAAACTGAGGATATTGTACAGTTTAACATCAGGAAGAGTGTGTATATGTGGTAGGGTTGGCTCATACACCATATTTATATAATCTGTGTTCTAGTCAGATAATCCAATGAATTAGAATGTCTGAAGAAGAACAGAATATGAAAACAGCAGGAAGACTCATCAACAACCTGCAATGTACAGATGACCCAGCCTTTCTTACTGGAAGCAAAAAGAATTTGAAATACTTACTAATGAAGATAAAAAAATGACAGCCTTTGGTGTGTTACACTTCAACATATAGAGAATAAAAAGCAATATCATGGTAAATAAGCAACTGGTGGGTGAGTAAGTTTGGGGGTGGCAAATGTGCAACAATGAAAAAAATATTTAATGTTTTAAAAAACCAAGTAATTGGACCAATAAACAACATTATGAAGGGAAGGTGAAAAGAATGGAGTTGTGGATTTCACTCTGTTTGAATCCACAAACAACTTTCATAGAACCAGCAGTAATGAAATGATGGATCACATTGGCAAATCTACCCCTAAAATACCACACTGTAAGGTATGAAAACAAAGACATTATGTTGAGGACTAGGGTGCACCTGACCCGAGTCATAGTCTTTTTCACCTCATATGTTTGTATGAAAAAACGATGAAGAAAGAAGAGTTAAGAAGAATCAATGCCTTTGTTTTATGGTATTGATAAAGAATATTTATCTTCCCAGTAGTGGAATTGCACTACTGGGAATTTACCCTAAAGAAACCATAACCACCACCCAAGCAGATATATGCACACCCATGTTTATTGCTACTTTGTTTGCAATAGCAAAGAGCTGGAAACAACTCAAGTGCCCATCAACCAATGAATAGAGAAGCTCTGGTATATTCACACAATGGAATACTATGCAGCATTGAAAAAACAAACAACTCATGAAATATTATGCAAAATGGATGACCTTGAAGGACATTATGTTGAGTGAAATATATCAGTCACAAAAGGAAAAATATTGCATAGGGCCACTGTTGCAAAGCGGGCTGACATCAGGGTTGAGGGAAGGCAGAGAAGGAGGGGAGGAATGATGTATATTGCATTGAAACAGATGAGGGAGAGAACTGTTTAAAAGAGATATGTGAAAAAAAAATAAAATAAAAGGGATATGTGATTAGGTATTATTATTGTGAAAGGAGTCCAGAATGAAGGCTGCACCACAGTGGAATAGACTTGGGGGTAGGGATTGCATAACAATGAAAGAGTTTTTCTTTTACTTTTCAAGGAGAAGAGTGAATTGTGGGGGGATGGGTTGGGCAGGGAGAAAAGTGCAACAATGAATGAATGGAAACCCTAAGTCTTTACAAACTTTCATTAAAATTACTAAGAAAAAAAGTATTTATCTTCAGGACTGCCAGAAGAAAGAATAAATGTGTCTTATAAGTTGTACACTCAGAATGCTTTTTAGAGGTGAGTATGGCTACAAAGTCTGTACATGTAATAAGAAGATATCTAGAGAAAGACATTGTGCTTGGACCAGGGGAAGGTCAGCACAGAGAAGACCTTCAATGAGATGATTAACACAATGGCTGTAACAGTGGTCTCACGCCTGGCAATGACTGTGAGGATGGTAAGCTTCTGCACTGTTGTATATAAGATCTCTGTGAGGTGGAAGGGGATAGGACAGTGTTTAGATCAGTTAATAACAGGGTGAATATGAGAGGTACTCAACTCAATGGCACCTAACACAACACGAGGTGGAAGTCACTCAATGACATCAAATAACAACAGTTATGAAAGGAATATTTTTAGACCATTTCCACACCACTGTATCTGTGTCGAAATCCTCTTGAAGTATGTCCTGTCTTGACCACAGAGAAATTATGTCTTAACTCTTCATTATTTTTATCTTACTTGGATCCACAACCAACATCCTTGGTACCAGCAGCCAGAGTGCACCCTAGAGGTAAGTCTGGTGAAGCTTCATCTCACAAAAACTGGGCATGTTGCTAAGAAGGGCTGTTCCTTGGAAAGGCGCATCAGGCTTGGAAAGGGGGAGGGTCAACTAAAGAGAGGAAGAACAGCGACAAGATGGATTGACATGGTGACTACAGCAATGAGCTCATGTGTGTCAGAGGTGATGAGGTTGGCACAGGATAGAACAGGGTTCAGATCTGTTGATCATTGGGTCGCTATGAGTCATACTTTCCTTGACAGCACCTAAAAACAACAACATCTATTTACAGGTATTAACCTGATAAAGAACTCAAGGATAGGAATATGTTATCAGTTTGTTCCAATATTACTAAAAGCAACATAACTCCCTCCCTCATCCTCAGGTTTTCAGAAGTTGTGAATTGCTTAGAAAGAGAGTTCCATCTTTTTCTTAGGTAGCTGCTGGTAGATTCAAACTGCCTGCCTTTGGGATAACAGTGTAACTCTTTTCCCACCAGACCAGTGTAAACATGGATTTATTTCATACATTTTACTTTTGATCAAAAAATTTAAAAACACTTTATAGCCTAAGGGTCAATAATGTTAGGATTATTATTATTGTTTACGTTAGATGTATCTTGGTTAAAATCAAAGACTACCGTAAGGATATTTATTCATGTTTTATTGATTATGCAAAAGCAGTAGACTGTATGGATCAGAATGAATTATGACTAACACTGAGAAGAATGGAAATGTCAGAACATTTAATTGTGCTCTTCAGAATCTTATACCTAGATCAACAATCTGTTGTCAGAGCAGAACAAGGGACCACTGCAAAGTTTAAAACCAGTAAAAATGTATAATAAACTGTCTCTGAAAAACCTGCTGGAAGGTCCTGTAAGAATCAATTCCAAATCAAGGGTACGTAACAATAACAGCAACTAATAAAGCCTTCATTATAGGATTCACTTCAGCCAAAAAGAAAGCAAAAAGCAACATCAGATAAAACAGCAACTGGACCAATAAGCAACATCATGAAAGAGAAATTACTAGAATCACGATTCTAATTAACAGATTCAGCAACATGACAGCGATGAGACATCTGCCCATAGTCACGTGGAACGTGAGTGAATGGAATGCACCAATTAAGGCAGAAAGAGTAGCAGAATATTCCATGTGCACAACAATGAGCAGGATAAGAAAACCTGGCTCATTGTTATGCTGTCTACAAGAGACACATCAAAGACACAACAAAATCAAAGGAGAGAGATATATATATAACCTTTTTATTGTCTCCCTAGTTGTCATTACAGAGAAGTCGTAGACCATTTCACAAGATAGAATGCCCAAGCAGCTGCACTGAATGATCTTTCTACTCTTTTTTTTTTTTTAGTTTAAACACACTTTATTTTTAGACAACCTATGACATTTTTTCCCTTTAAAAAAAATGCCTCCGCTCCAAATAAATGAAGGTCAAAATTACAATGGAGAGGTCAAGATGGTATCTCAGTCC